CCCCCAGGGAAGCACTTGCCCAGGACCTTCCCTCCTCACCGTCAACCTTATCTGGTCTTTCTGAGTCCTCATGGAATCAAGTCTAAATGTGGCTTGTAGGGTCTGGGTGAGTCCTGGCTCCTTCTGACTCCAGGACCCCAGATGTTCAATCTCTGACCCTCCCTGGTTATCTGTGGTTCTGTCTCAGGGAGCTACCTTTTCCTTCTTCAGAAGGAAAAGTGCACCCTCCAAGAGCGCCAAGTGACAAAGCAGAAAGCTCCCTGCAGGAAAGGCCACACAGGAAGAAGACCTTGCCCTTGCAAAGGTGTCCTGAGTGCTTGGTCAGGACTGCAGCAGCTTTGTCTGGTCTCTGAGAGTGCCTCCAGAAACCAGCCGAGGCTTGGCCTTCTCACTGAGACCCTGGTATTTCAGTCTCTTGCCATCCCTGTTTCCTCCTTGTGTGGCCCTGACTCGGGGAGCTAGCATCCAGCTCCTCTCTTGAGAGAGGGATTTTACCGAACAAGTGCAACCCAAAGTTCCAAGTGGCAAACAAGATAGCTCCCCTTCAATAAAGTATTTATTGAGACAAAAGTCACCTAGCCAGGGGTCCTTCCTCTGCTCTTCCTCTCCAAAGGTTTAAGTAGTGCCTCTGTCCCCAGTCCAGTCCGTGCATCTTAGAGCACCAATAAAGACACTCAACTGCTTCCTTTCCAGTGTCTCCAGCTCCAGAGCCCAAAAGCCTGTCTGCTGGTCTCTCTCCAGACTCTGTCCTCAGACTGTCCCCACAAAGTGTTGACACCTTCCTTGTCCAGCCAGCTCTCTTATTGTCATACTAATTTCTCTCTCCCCCTGGACACCTCCTGGGTTTTACCTGTGATCCCCACTTTGTGTATGTATCAACAAAGGTGTTCAAATCTCTGTCGGTGCCAGAAGTCCTTGTCTGGCCCCACATGTGGGCACATCTCTTGCTTCCCTGTCTCTCTAACCCATCTTTTCCTCGTGTCCTATCATTATGGGTAAACTGAGGCATATAACATCATGACAACATGAACACAGCTAACACAGAAATGTAACAGTAAACCCTATGGTCCATCACAAAAGGATTACATGTTCCTTTGTCCCCAGTCCAGCCCACACAGCCCTGAGCATCCCAGCTGTTTCCTTTCCAGTCTACAGCTTTCAGGCCAACACCCTCCTCCTATTCAGATTGCTCAAGTGATCAAAACAAGCTAGTATCTAGTATATGAAAGGCACTAGGTGGACAATAAATATAAGGGCAGTCTGCTATTTTACTTGTAACTGTTTTATAGCTCAGTTCTTGTTTACTGCTAATGTTTTTGACAAAAGTACCATTTGTTACATTAAATAATCAAACAGTTAATCTCATTTAGAAACAATTTGGGTTTCATGCCACAAAAACTTTACTTGTATAATTAATCTCATTATCTTTCTTGGGACTTCTTTGGCAAAAACTTTTCATATTGATGTGATTGGTCCCTCAAGTCTAATAATAGTTTTTAGACATATGGGTATTTCAGGCTCACTTCAACTCTAATTTTGCATTACTTTAACCAAGTACTCTGCCTCTTAATAGTTGTCTGTAGAAAATAACTTATTATCCTTTAATACTGATTTTACACCAGGTTTTGGAAATCTGCAACGGACATCCAGTCAACGTAGCACACTTACATACCAAAGAAATAATTATGCTCTGAACACAGCAGCTACCTATGCGGAACCCTACAGGTCAATGCCTTACCGACTGTCAGAATCCAGTTATAACAGGCTACAACATGCAACACCAGCTGATGATGGTACAACAAGATCTCCATCCATAGACAGCATCCAGAAAGACCCTAGGTAAGTCCAATTTATTTCTCAAGGATCATACACAATTACCAGAATAGCATGATTCTAAAGTATTCCTTGATCAAATACAAAACCTTAATAGTGTACATTCCAGTTTTGCATTATACAGAAAAATATGACTGATTTTACTGAATGGCTTTTATTTACATGCATTTGTGCTAGTTATTTTAATTTTCTTTCAAGTTTATTTTTATTTGCAGTTTCAAATAAGATATTTCATGCAAAATAAGGACTTATTTGAACTTTGAATGATACATTTGATTTCATTGACTATTTTGAGTAATTGTTAAATGTCACAATATGTTTTTTCTGGCAGGTTTTAGACATTTGTAAGTCTATCAGAGCATGAAGTTTATGAACATCTGGAGTTATAATCAGGGATCCTGGTTTTCCCTGATAAAAATAGCAAATT